TGAGAGACAGTATGCTGAAATGAGTGTCACTAGTGGTGTCCTTCCTGAGGATGTTATTTCATTTGGGAATCCAAGTGAACTTTCACCCCAGCGAATTGTTTTTGGTTGTGAAACTGAGGAAACCGGTGACCTTTACAGACAGCATAGACAGCATGCTGACTGCATTATCGGATTGGGCCGTGGTGATCTCAACATTGTTGACCAGCTTGTGTATAAAGGTGTGATTAGTTATTCTTTCTTATTATATTATGGTGGGATGGATGTCGGTGGGGTCGCTATGGTTCTTGGTGGTATATCTGCCCCATCAGACATGGTGTTTAGTTATTCCGATCCTACACGCAGGTACGTTTTGTGAACAATTTTATCTCAGAGATGGAGTACCTCGTCAACTTCCTAAAAAAACAATCGATACACCGGCACATTCACTCTAGTTTCGGGATGGCAACAGTCCATATTACAACATTCAGTTGAAAGAGATTCATGTTGCTGGGAAGAAGCTAGCTTTGAACCCAAGCATCTTTGATGGAAAGTTTGGAACTGTTCTGGATAGTGGTACAACATATGCATATCTACCACAAAAAGTGTTTGCGGCCTTTAAGCATGCTGTAAGGTTTTGTTACCATAAATTAATCCTAGTTTCTTAAAATTTTAGTTAGGCCTATTAATATGCTCTGACTAGTCTTTCTTTGCTTCTGGCTAAGTGACTTAAAATTTTTCACTCTTCATCCTCCATGGCATTGATATGTGGATCATTGAAGTTTAATTCTCAACATTTTTGCATATTGAACTGGAATTTATGTGCTTAAGGGCATGTGATGACTACATGCTCAATAGATTAACCTTTTAGAAGTCAAAACTTAAAACTAATAAATTTTATTGTGTTTGCTCTTTTCCCCCTATCTCATATATGCATCTTTATATTGAAGATTATGAAGAACTTAATAGCTTAAAGCAGATCAGAGGCCCTGCTGCAAGTTACAATGATACATGCTTCTCCGGTGCTAGCAGGTATACTTATATTACCTACCATAACAGAAAAATTGAAAATTTTGTAAGTGTTTGTTATAGAAACTGATTAGTTATGTACTTTCAACTCTTAAAATTTGTTTTCCGCTTCAGTGATGTCTCTCAACTCTAAAAAAAAATTCCAACAGTGGCTGGTATTTGGCAATCAGCAGAAGTTATCGCTTTCACCCGAGAATTAATTGTTTCGCTTAAGCTTATCACATTGTAATTGCTTTCTATTGATTGAACATCTTCATTTCTCAAGGGAACCTTCTTAAGGTTATACTTTGAGTTGGTTTAGTAATAGTTTACTTGATTCAGTCAAGTATTCTGCCCTGTCCTTGTTCAATACGTGACTAGGGTTTTTATTTTTCACTTACCTTTCATCGTCCTCATGAAGCATTCTAAGGTTGAAGGTGCATACTGCGTTGGGATCTTCCATAATGGTGTGGATCCAACACCTTACTGGGAGGTATGTTGATTTTCAGATAACTCGAGTATTTTGTGATCTTCATCGGGCAAAGTTTGACGAAATATCTTAATTTTGATTGCAAAGCTTTAGTTTGATGCCATGACAATTGTGATTGTGGGAGTGCTATTTTTGTTATTTCTTTTTGTAATAGGAATCATTGTGCGGAATACTTTTGTTACATATGACTGCGAGCATTCAAAGATTGGTTTCTGGAAGAGTAATAGTTCTGAGATATGGAAAAGAATTCATCACCATCTCCTTCGTCTTCAAGTGGGAAGGATTATTCAACCTTCAAAATGCCACCTACGTCATCTCCTGATGGAGCACCTTATTATGCTCTTCCAGGTACGCTAAACCATGGTTATAACTGGAAAATGATCAATAGTTCAGTACTTTTGTTAATTATGCCTTGAGTGATATTGTCATAATATAAAGACATTTGCTTGTTGATAAATAGGGGAAATTGAAATTGGTGCAATTTCATTGGATATGGCATTGAGTGTCAGCTACACATATCTAAGGCCGCGTCTGGTCGAACTTCTCGAGTTCACGGCCAAGGTGCTAGATGTTAACGTTCACAGGTTAAACAACTACTATCTTCAAATGCAGGGCATTAGCACTGAAGGAATTTTTCAACCATCTTATTGAACGGTTGTTTTTTCTGTCTATGGTATGATAACTTTCGGATGATTTAAGGTCCATTTATTGGATTTTTCATCCGAAGGAAATAGTTCTCTTGTGAAATGGGGCATAGTCCCTTCAAGATCAGCAACCTACATTTCTAATGTGACCGCCCTAGTAAGTTTTCTTTTCAGATTATTGCAATTCATTTAACTTGTAAATTACAGTTGTTTTTCTTGATGAATCTCTGCTTCCAGAACATGATATCTTGGGTTGCCGAACATCGTGTGACGATTCCTGAAGCCTTCGGAAATTATCAGTTGGTGCAATGGGAAGTGAAGCCTTCTTTGACACAGTATGTTTCCTTGCTGTAGATTTTGTTGAGAAGTATGATATAAGCTGTAAATGGATTTGTTGGTACAGAACATGGTGGCAGAAAACAGAGGTTTGTTCCATATCAATCCGTCGATGGAACAGCTCAAGAGAACGAACTACAACCACTGCAGTCTTGATCAAAGCTCTGGAAGAAAAATAATCAGAATTTCGTACACATTTGGGGTATGGATTCTGCACCCAATACAGGAATCCTGCCTGTTTTGTTTTTCAAAAGAGAATAAAATTAAATAAACGCATCATCCTTTGTTTATGAGGGTCAAAAGTGACGGATGCAAATGATCATCTTTTGCCTTTATACGTTGTATCACCGGTAGGGGTGTGCAAATCAGGGTACCCGGAACTTCGGGTCTGTGATTTTTCGGCCCGTGTCTCGACCCGGATGTTAAGGGTACCCGGTAATTGGGTACCCAGATTTTGTCGGTACCTGGTTTTTTATTTTTCATTTTTAAATTATTAATTTAAAAAAATATACACAAATTTAAATGTTCGAAATTTCGAATTACATACTCTAATATCCGAACATAAATTTTAAAAGTTCGAAAAACTAAATATAATAATCCATAATATAAATAATTCATTATATTATATATATATATGTATATATATAATAAAAATAATAAAAACTAACCGGGTAACCGGGTACCGAAAAATTAGATTTTGTGACCAAGCCCGACCCGAAAAATATCGGGCCGAGTACCCGACCCGACCAGATAATTTTTTAAAAAAATTACCCCTTTTTTTATGTCTGAGTTGACGGATCAAATTAATTGGGTCGGATAATTTTACACACCTCCTAATCACCGGGCCTCTTCTCAAACATTGACTTTCAATTTGTATTTATTGTACTTGTTTACTGTCACTAAAATTCTTGAAAAAAGGCTGCAACTTTGAGAACTTTTGCACCAGTATTGTCTCAAACAAATTTAATACAATTGAACTATGTTAAATGTTTTGGCAAGAAAATGGAAAACCTGAGTTTATGAGTTGAAACAAGTTGGGATTATGGGAAAATTTAAAAAGAAAAAAAATCTGGTGAACTTGACACCCACACTACTTAGTAAATAAGTTACCAATGGCGGATGCACTAAGCCTTCATAAGGGTCAAATGCATCTCTATTATTTTGGAAATGTAGTTAAATTTAGCTTAATGTATTAAGAAAATAAGAAAATAAGAAAAAATTACAATTTTTGCATATCTATTATTTTTAAGAAAAAAAATTAAAATTTTGGACCACATTCTTAAATTTTTGAATCTGTCACTGTAAGTTACTAGAGAGAAAATGATATTTTCTTTTTCTTCTTCTCAATTAACTCTTTTCTTCCTTCGTACGCATTTATCGTCCTCAATATGTCTCATAAATGACCGGTTTCGGCTTTCCGCCCAAATCAAAAAGAGTGAACCTTCTTCAGTCTACATAACACACATTGCTACCATCAACAATTTGATGCGATGAATATGAAGATACTTCTCAACCAAGAAGAATCGGTTAAGACGAGCTCTTTAGAACAAATCAGTTAGTTCAACTTGCAATCCTCGTCTTGAAACCCGCCGAGCGCATTCTCAAGCCACTTGGAGGGGTCGCTAACGTCATCACATGAGGATCTCAACCTTTAGCATCTCCTCTAGGAGGTCAAACCCCCCGAAGTGTAATGTCCATGGAAATTGCTGCAAAAAGACTCAGACCTATAGATTAATAAAAAGACACTGATGTTTTTACGTGTTCTGCTGTGGATATGCTACAGATTAGCCAGCCAATCACAATGCATTCGCTCAATACCAAACCTTCAGAAAAGCCTTTCAAACAGAAAAACAGAAAGCTGGCTATTCACAAGATCCAAGGAGTGAAACAAGAGACTACTAAACTCTTGGCAGTAGGGTTTATTAGATAAGAAATGAATCTCTAATGTCATTATGGTAAAGAAGGCAAATGGCAGTTGGAGGATGTGCATTGATTTTACAGACCTCAATCACTATCACTATTAGTAATTTAGTATATTACTTTTACTAATTATCAATTAGTCTAGTAAGATGAAACACTATTTTCTTCAAGTAAGATTAGAGGTTAAATCCTCAATTCTAGAGGGAACAAATTATGTTAGAAAGTTTACCCTCGTAATCAGCATTTACAGTAGAGTTACAGTAGAGACAAAGACATTAAATGATTGGAATGGACTTTGTAGTAAAGATGAAGTCTTTACCCTCTTAATTTTTTTTTCTTTGTATATTGGGTCCTTTTTAATTTAAATATTAATTAAATAAGGTCTTTATCCCTCTTAAGTTTAAGGTTCGAACGCTAAATAGATATTAGTTCTTTTGATGTAAAGTAATTTAATCACTCTCGATGTATGTTTGATAGTAGCTTGTCTTTATTTTGCAATACTTGTTGTAGATAAGTCAGATGAATATGATATTGGTGATCATACAAAATATGTTTATTATAAAAAATAGAAACAATAAAATATCTATTAAAGTAAACAAACACATTATATATATATATTGCTGAAATAAAATTAACAAAGCGATGGAACTCACATTTATTTTGAGTAAATTATAAAATCCATATAATTATAGGACGTGGATACTATTAATATATTATTATTTTATTATTATGATATAAATATGCCTTCCCTATGAACTATGAGAAGGCCGGATAAAAGGTGGCAAAATATCATATATGTGCATATATGTGAAGTTGAAGTTCAAGGGCACTTGGGATTGCCCTTGGAGTTCTTCTTGTCTCGATAGCAAGGGCATTCCGACTTGTTCCCATAGGTACCCGATGGAACACACTTGCATTCTTGGCAGCATATCCCGCAATACTTTAAGCACCTGTCTTTCATTCCAGCCTTCCCACACCTCTCCCCGCACTTGCTGTCACAGAAACCTATTCATTTTTGTCACACACAAAAACCAACATTTATTACCTATATAATGATCCCAATAAAAATGAAGTATATTTGGTAGATATAAGAGCGTTACTTGGAGGAACAGGTGAAGGAGGAGAAGCAGGAGCTGCAGCAAAGGAGTGTTGGATAAATGATGAAATCAAAACCAGGGAAACAAACAACCAGGTAGCCATTGTAAACCTCATTCTCTTCTCTTTTGATTTGTTAATATCAAATGTGGGTTGCCCTCGGAGGGATTTTTGTGAGATAGTGCAAGGGTATTTATAGGTGTCATTTCATTTGTAAGTGGAAAGGGAAATGCCGTGTACAGCTAGGCATCTTCGCTTTGGTACAGGCTGTAAGGCTGCCCTTCATTTCCTTTTTGTTGGGGTGAGGGGACCATCACCCACCGTCTCGACTCTCAGGTCTTTTGTTCACAATGGTTGAATATTCGAGTTTGTCCGACTCCAAACCCTAATTTACTAACGATCATAACTCGACTCAAAAAATTGATTTTTTTATTTAATTATACTCAAATTAACTTCAAATTGTAATTTTATAAACTTAACTCGACTCGAAAAAAATTTAAGTTCAAATCGAGTTGTATTTTACAACTCGAATAACTCAAAATTTTTAATAATTAATAGATTGATTTTCAAGTTTGAGTCAAGTCCTTCAATTGTGTGTGTATATATATATATATATATGAAAAAATATGAAGAAATATATTTGTATTGTATATATGGTTATGAAAATCATTTAAATTGGAATAAAAAATATTATAATATTATAAATATTTACAATTAAATTTAAACAAAACTCAAAAAATTGACTCGACTCGACTCGAATTTTACAAACTCAAATCGACTTGTAAAAATTTCAAGTTAACTCCGAGTTGTAAAATAAGACTCGTCAACTAGAATAACTCGAAATGTTTTTTACTCAACTTAACTCAATCGAGCGGTCACTCCTATTTACTATTTGTACCTTACTATGCAACCCAACTATTAGGAACTGTGATATACATGCATGTTTATGACAAATAGATATGGAATGATATTTTATAGGGTAAACTACACGTTTAGTATCTCAATTATCATTTTTATTTCGTTTTCATCACTTAATTATTATTTTTTCAAAAGCATGCCTAATTCTTAGTTTTGGTTTCATTTTGGTCACCCGTCGTTAACGAAATTAAAGGTGGTATTGAAGTGACACCATAAGATAATTTTATGTCATCACTGAAAAATAAAAAAAAATACCACATCAATAGTTATATTATTTTTTTAATAGTGGACGATCAAACTGAAACAAAAAAATATAATTATAAGTCAAATTTTGAAAAGAAAAATAAGTGACCAAAATGGAACAAAAGTGATAGTTGGGGTACTAAACATATGGTTTACCCTTTTTATCTAATGTAAACATATATTTCAAATACAATTTTCTCTTTTTTACAAATTCTAAATTTAATTCTAGTCTAAACTAGAGGGGAGGGGAAGGGGACTCTTGGAGAAAGGAAGGGAATGATTCTACTGAGTCTAAAACTCATTATCTAAAATGATATGGGGTAACAAAGATGAGAAGCATGACCACCCAATCAAATATAATTCCTCTTTAAATAAAATTTTCAATTAAACTAAAACTAGAACTATAAAATCTACACATAATGTTAACTTAAAATTGGATTTTTATACGTTAGTTGTTACCATTTTTACCAATACCTTATTGACAGGAAGGGAACCATGTAGGCCTTTTGGGGTTACTGCCCCTCAATTTTTTTAACATCAAAAAATATATAGATAATTATCTATTTGGGTCTTTAAAATTTTGATTTATTTTAATTTTACCTTCTTATTTTTTATTGTTAATTATACTTTACCCCTTAAACTAAAATTATGGCTCATCGCTGTTGAAGGTATGTATGCACTTCATGCAGGATAAAAGAGCCATTTCTGAAACCCTTATTTTTTAAGTCAAAATATTCACCTACCGCAACCCAACTTGTATATTTTTACTAAAAAGAACCTTTTATTTTATCTATTACTACTATTTTTTTAATCAAGTCACTTTTATTTATTTACTTACGTCAACTTGTTTTTTTTTGGCCGGTATATGTAGGTAGACATGCACAAAGTCGGATTTAAATCGGATCCGGATCGGATAAAAATCGATCCGATTTTTTAACCTAGCCAAAAAATCGGTTCGGATCCTAATCGGTTTGAAGGGTCGGATGGTGTAACCGGTTTTGGTTTGAAAAAAACCGGTTTTTGTTTGAATAAAAACCGGTTTTTTAAAAAAAAACCAGATATAAAAAAACTGATTTTAATATTATTAAAATTACATCGTCATCAATTGCAACAAAGTTTACGATAATTGAAATACTTAAATATTTCCAAGTTCGATAAATTCAAATATTAACGGCTAGATTTTTAAACCCAGACCGGTTTTTTTCGGTTAAAAAAACCGATTTTTAATCTGGTAAAAAAACCGGTCGTCCAATTTTTTCCCAAACCGGTTATATTATCCGGTTTTAAAATATCCGATCCAGTTTTAAAAAATTGGTTTTTCTCAAATCCGATTTCGAATATTTTTTGCGCAAAATCGGATATTCGAATTTTTGTACGCCTCTATTTGTAGGGTTCATGACAAGACAAACGCAAATTGTAAACCATGAGTCATAGCAAGTACATCAATCATTTTCCAACTAAACCATGCATTAAAACTCATTTAAGATGTTAATTAAATCAAGTCAATACCCCATCCCATTCAGGCTGTTCGACGCCATCATCACTGGCCAATTTGCAATACAAATTTTCTTTCCAGCTTGGAGTAACATTCATCATATTCATATATATCCACGGAAACAAAAAGAAAACAGTGAGATGAAAAGAAAATTTTCATAGTGGAAAAACAACATGCAGTGTCGATTCCATCCAATCTTCCTACATTTACCTCGTTTCTTGTTGGGAGTTTGACATAAAAAAAGGTAAATTGTACGCTTCGTACTTAACTATCACTTTTGTTTAGTTTTTATAATTAAACTTTATTTTTTAAATCATAGTTAACGTTTAGTTTATGTTTCATTTTGGTACCCCGCCGCTAAAAACTTAACTGTAACGTTGACGTGTCATCAGTGATAGATCTAGCAATATTTTTTAAGGTGACCACACACATTAATTATTAAAATTTTTTGTATGGGACATGCATAAATAAAATTTCAAGATGGACACTAAAATAAAATTGACAACTATTATAAAGAAATTCGGATTCTAATGTGGGTAGGTGCCCACCCTGTGTATACTTTACATTGTCCACTATGTGTCACCATAAGGTAATATCATATCATTATTATAAAAATTTAAAAATATGACATTAGCAATTATGTTAAGTTTTTAACAGTTGGTACCAAAATAAAACATAAACTAAACGTCATATATGATTTAAAAAAAATAAAGTCTGAATACCAAAACAAAATAAAAGTAATAGTTTAAGTATTAAACTTGTAGTTTACCCTAAAAAGAACAAAGGCTTAGGTTGGCCAATAATGGTATACCACCTTAGTGCACATGCAATGAAGCTTGTCTCCCAATTTCATTGAGATGTACAATAAAATCCTTGTCAACAAGTGTTCTAATTTACAGCTGCATATTCCAAAGTTTTTTGACCTCCAATGACCACCTACCTAACATCTATGACTAGCTGGATCTCATTATCTCACTCATTTATAATTATTTTAAAGAAATATAATTATTGACAAATACCTTATTTAATATATCTCCATCTCCAAGCATCAAAGTTAGGTAATTAAGGAGATGTTATTATCAAATTATTATTACCTACTATTCACATCTTTTATAAGTGTACCATTCCAACCAATCTCATGTTTATCTTCGTGTTCAATAAAAAATAAAAAGGAAAAAATTCACAATAATGATTAAATAACACCCCAACACGGCTTAGACACAAAACTCAAATTAAAAATGTCACAATAGATCATCGAAATAATTCCACAATTAACAAAATTAAAATATAAAACTTACTAAAAAAATTAAAACAAGTCATACAATATATGTAAAACGTGAAAATTACAAAATTTGAGCTCCTTATTTGAAAATCAAATACATAAGCAAAATAAATTATTTACAACGAATTTGAGTAAAAATTACAACCTCTACCTGCACACTCAAGTCTTCATCAATGTACTATGCTACTCCCTGTTAGACTCCTTAGATGATATCATTGTTCTATCACAATCCTCGAAATATGTAACCTACGAGAAATCTGAACGATGAGCTAACAAATCTTAGTGGTATACATCTATTCTACTATATTTCACGAGTTTCATAAAAGAGAAAATAACCTCAGTGACCGAAAATTCCTTATAATATACGATTTTGACCAACTTTTTTTCGATTTGCCAAAATGACCAACAAAATCTCAATGCGATCTCTAAATCGCAACGCGATCTCCAATATCGCAAATCAGTTTCCAGATTCGCTTTGACTATCGCATTGCGATTTTAGAAAATCGCAATGCGAATATGTACATCGCAACGCGATAATACATAATCGCAACGCGATTCTGACTGTCGCAACGCTGAATTTCAAATTCGCAACAGGTTTTAGTTTCGCAACACAAATGTTTTGGGTATATAACTACGCAGCAGCAACTCATACCTAAATCCCTAAATCGCAACTCATTCCATCTCCATCTATCACTCTCTCGGGCGACATCCATTCCTATATCCAACGACATCCTTCTCCATCGGCAACAGGTTTTAGTTTCGCAACTCATTTTTTAGTAAATTAATTTACAATAATGAAATCATCTAATGTTGATCATGTTTGGATAGATTTGTGTTTTGGAGGGTCATGGGAGAATGTTCATGGTGTTTTACAATATATGCCTTTACCCATGAATCTTCAACTAAAACTGTCATTAAAAAAGTTAACTTATGAAACTTTAATGTTACGTGTTTCAAATAAATTGAATTTAGAGCCCTTAAGTGGATTTAGGCTATCTTATCAGAGAAAAGGTAAAGTTTATTTGTTAACCGACAATGAAGATGTTGAACGATTCATTGCTTACATTAGTGTTTCACAAGATGATATTACATTGTATGTTGTTGAACCTAGAAGTAGTGAAGTTGGGTCAGTAGCGGGTAGTAATCAACTAAGTTTTTCAACCCCATTTTATGGTGCTCAAAATTTAATGGTTCCACCATAATTTCATCACCAAA